GGTGTGTTTGAACTAAGAATTTGATGTTTCCTTCAGGCGGTAGATCTGTTGAATATCAAATGGTACCATAGTTTCATATTCTTATTTCTCTTCTCTTTACTGCGTCAAGCTTTAACCCTTTCCTATACCAACTGTATGCGTGTGTGTATATGTGTATGTTAGACCAGTTTAAGTGTTTATGTAGTATGTTAGACTAGTTTAAGTGTTTATGTAGTTAATAAAATCTTACTTGTATCACACTTGACGTTGTTCATTATTTACTCATAACTATCGTCCCTAATCATGCAGATTTATGCTACAAGCTCCGTGTAGAGTTGTACAGTAAGAAAGTTATTTCCCTTAACCAGGAAATTAACGTTCTTAGAATTGACAGACAGTTGACCCTGAGAGGTCAAGTAAATATCTACAGCGGATCTAAATATTTATAATTAATTATAACTAGTTATGATTAATTATTCATATTTCCCATGAGCTGATTCGCTACAACCCTCAGTGGAAAAAAAATATATTAAAGATGGTGGATGAAGTATAAATATAGATTTAATCTGCATATACACATATACCAATAAAACAGCACAATCTAATTAAAATGCATTACATCAAAAGATGTTTCAGAGCAACGACGGCTCAGAGAACTTAATGGTAGTCTGAGAGGAAAGTCTGTGGGTGGCAAATCAAGAGCACGTCCCACCAGCTTGGCCTGTGTGTGTGTGTTTATCTGCCTCTGTAATGTCATGAATAGAAAAGACTGGTGGGAGGACGGATAGCTAGTATTTGAGAGCGTTTCACAGGGGAAAAAGAGCAGCTACTCCAAGCATCTTCTCAAAGATGGCAGATGACGTCAGCTGCTCTCCTGCCCCGTCTGCTATTTTTACATCCTACTGTGTTTGCTAGTGAGAAAGAGGCAGAGAATAATTACAGAATCCAAATTAGAATAATAAATGGGTCATCAAGACTCTTAGTGTCTAAATAGAGGCTCCATGTCCTACACATGTCGGAAATAATCACATGCTTTTCTGTTTATGTTTGTACCTGCTTTATTTGCACTAATTATACATATGTATTTCTAACTTTGGCAGGTGAACTTGAAGACCTCATGTCTTGATGAGTGCAGGTTTCTTTCTTGTGCTGATGTATTTTCTATTGAAACAAGATGATACATATACATTTATGCAATTGGCAGATATTTGTTCTTTTTACATTTAATCAGATAAATGTTTAAATTATAATATTAATATTAAATGTAGCAGGGGTGTAACATACTATTAATATTATATAATATTTTATATAATATTTGTTAATAATAATAATAATAACAATTTAAATATTTTGATTAAATGTCAGTTTTGTCTCTTTAATATTAATATTATCAATAATATTTACAGGGGTGTAAATTTCTATTAATTTTATATAATAGTTTATAGATTGTTTAATAACAATTGAAATATTTTTAAGTAAACAATGTACATTTTAAATGTGAATTTTGTCTCTGTAATAACTTTTACAGGAGTGTAAAATTCCATTGATATTATATAATATTTTATGTACTTTTTATTAATAATTATAATAATTAATTTTAATCATATTAATAATATTTGTAAATTTTGTCTCTTTAAATATTAATATTAATGATATAATATTTTATAATATTGATCATAATCAAAATATTTGTAAACATTTCAGAGAGTGTATTTGGTCTTTTTATCATTAATATTAATATGTATTAACAAATATTATTTATTAAAATTAATGTGAATTGTTACAGGGACATACCATGCTATTGTTTGTTATTCTATAATATTTTATAATATTGCTGTGCAGTCAGATTTTTTATTTTAAGCATATAGTTGAATTTAAAGCTGACAGACATGAAATGAAAACCACAACATTGTGAATTTTGATTTCATTTCGAATATACTATGTTTGGTCAAGAAAACGTCACCAATTCATCACACAGTGTGTTGTATAGTGTGTAGAGGAGTTGTAAGATGCAAATGTAAAGTCAGTTTTCCAGAGCTCAGTCTTCATGATGTGTGTGACAACAGCAGGCAGATTCACTGTTTGCCTGCATTTCACTGACAGGACAGGCTGACATTATGTGGATATTACCCACAGGTCCATGCAATAATGAGCCGACTGTCAAGATATAGGACCAATATATATTAGACTGAGCTGTACTGAAAATACTGTTTGTGACAGCAAAAAATATGACTTTTTCCCCACTCACTGTGGCTTGTAAATACAAATGTAGTTTCAGCTTTTGAATAAATGTCCTTTATTCAGATTCAATCTGGATCAGCCCAGAATCTCACAAAATATTGCATGCTCAAAAAACACTTTGCATGTTCTTGCATAGAGGATAATTTGTGCATAAAGAAGAAAATGTGAAGTGACAATTTCCCCACTAGCTAATTCACTGCAAAAATGTTCTATGCTAGTTGCTATGGTGATATGAATGGTTGCTAGGGTGTTTGTTGCATTAAGCAAGGAGCTTACCATCAAGTCTCTGATACAGTATTGTTAACAAAAGCTAAAACTGTTAAAAATTAATTGCATTTATTGAAATAAAGCTGAAATAAAATTAAATATAAATATTAGATGAAAAACTTAAACATATCAAAATAAAATTGAAATTAAAATAAGTGAAAAATCAAGCAAAATAGAAACATTAAAAACAAAAACTAATAAAAATGACAAAAGCATATAACAAACATTACTAAAGCAAACTAAAATTAAAATGAAAACTGAAAATACAAAAATAAAAGCTAATACTACAAATACTATAATATTTAAAAAAGGAATTGTATATAAAAATATCATAAATACTACAAATTGTAAATTATAGTATAAATACTATAATATTATATAAATACAAAATAACTCTGTTTTTGTTTATTGAAATAGTTAAATAAAAGCAAAAACTAAAATATAAATAAAAAAGAAAATAAAAAAAAATGAAAATTAGAAATATTTCCTTAAACTAAACTATATAAGACTAAAACTGACATAAAAATAGAAACATTAAAAATAAAAACTAATAACAATTACAAAAGCACATAACATAAAACTTTAAGTAAATTGAAATGAAAACAGGAATTATAAAAATAAAAGCTAATACTAGAAATAAAATAATAGTAAGAATAGAATACTATAATAGTTTATAAATAATACTAAAATAACACTGTTTCATTGAATGAAACAAAAAAAAAAATGAGAAGAAAAGCTTAAACTTTAAAACAAAAATGAAATTTAGATATATTTCCTTGACAACTTAAACTAAACTAAATGAAAGTAAAACTGAAATAAGTAAAAAAAAACAAAAAAAACTAATACAATGGCAGTAGCACATAACATATTACTAAAACTAAAATGAAATCTGAAAAAATAAAAATAAATGGTAATACTATAAAAACACTACTATAACAATACTAATATAAATAGTATAATACTATAATAAGAAATAGCATACTAATATTATAGTATATTATACTAATACTATAATAATGAATAATACTATAAATACTACAAATTATAGTATAAATACTATAAAAGTATATAAATAATACTAAAATAACACTGTTCTGATATTCCGGTCTGGTGTTTTTGATCATAGATATACTAAATCTGCACATTATCACAAGTCAGGTCATTTCATCCAGCTTTCAGCAGCCGTTTAGAGGAAGATCTGTTTTCTAGATGTTGGCATTAGTCTGTATGTCATGTTACAGATGTTACATAATATCATATAATGGACAGATGTTATGTTTTCCCAGCATTTAAGCCCATGGGCTTAATTAAAGTGATTGATGACTGTTATCCATCTCATTTAGCATGGTTTAAAAAGCATGGATAACTGAGTTAAATGTATTTAGTAAATGTAATTATTGAACCAAAAATTGTACAACAAAGTGTCTCAAGCAAATAATCCACTGCCTACCTAGACAGCAGTTTAAGGTATCATATATTTAAGGCAGCATCCGTTCCAAATGGTAGGCAGCTGTATAATTATTTTATAATTCATAATTATGCAGTATAATTCCAAATGAGTCACAGCATAATTATGCAGCCTTCTAAGACGCTTTCTTTTAGCCAAATACTAAAGCAGCACTGCATGGGTCTTTTATGTAGAAGACAATCCCATAATGCAGTCAGAGTCAGTAAGAAGAAAATCCATCCAAGAATGAACAGTATTAATTATAAATGTTGATTATTAATGCACTTGTATTTCATTCAATGCTGAAAAATATTTGGTCTCTTTAATAATGGTATCAATTTTTATAGGGGTGTGAAATTCTATCAGTATTGTATAATATTTTATATAATTTTAAAAATATTAATTTAAATATATTTCAGTAAATAGAATATACATTTTAAACGTGAATTTTGTCTCTTATATTAATTGTTACGGGGTGTAACATGCTATTAATATTAACATACTATTAATATTTCATAATATTTGACAATAATAATAATAATAATAATAATTACATAACATACTATTATATATTTTATTAGATTGCTAGGAAGTCAGCTTTTGTATCTTTTAAGTATATAGTTGACCTTAAAGCTAACAGAGATTAACTAAAAACCACAAAAGTCCCATTTTGATTTATACATTATGTACATATTTGAACATTTGTGTATATGTACATATTTGAATACACACACACACACTAATGGGTTGACAAGATCTAACATGCAAATGTAAAATTGAGTTTATTTATTTATTTATATTGTGTTTTCATACTCAATAGATGATCCTTTGATGATTCAAAATGCACTGAAAAAATTGGGTGTAGAAACCGTTTACGCTCAGAAATTGCTAGTAAATTTCACAAATAATTGCAAAGAAATGGCAACTAGCATGACATTTTGAAGTAGAAAAACTAAATGGTATTTTCTTGTAAACTATACTCCTATATCTATATCTCTATATCTCTATATCTATCTATATATCTATCTATCTATATCTCTATCTATATCTCTATCTATATCTCTATCTATATCTCTATCTATATCTCTATCTATATCTCTATCTATATCTCTATCTATATCTCTATCTATATCTCTATCTATATCTCTATCTATATCTCTATCTATATCTCTATCTATATCTCTATCTATATCTCTATCTATATCTCTATCTATATCTCTATCTATATCTCTATCTATATCTCTATCTATATCTCTATCTATATCTCTATCTATATCTCTATCTATATCTCTATCTATATCTCTATCTATATCTCTATCTATATCTCTATCTATATCTCTATCTATATCTCTATCTATATCTCTATCTATATCTCTATCTATATCTCTATCTATATATCTCTATCTATCTATCTATATCTATCTATCTATCTCTATCTCTATCTATCTATATATCTCTATCTATCTATATATATCTATATATCTATCTCTATCTATATCTATCTCTATCTATCTATCTATCTATCTATCTATCTATATCTATCCTCTCTATATATATCTCTATATCTCTCTATATCTATATATCTCTATCTCTCTCTCTATCTCTCTATATATCTATCTCTCTATATATCTCTCTCTCTATATATCTCTCTCTCTCTCTATATATCTCTCTCTCTCTCTATATATCTCTCTCTCTCTCTATATATCTCTCTCTCTCTCTATATATCTCTCTCTCTCTCTATATATCTCTCTCTCTCTCTATATATCTCTCTCTCTCTCTATATATCTCTCTCTCTCTCTATATATCTCTCTCTCTCTCTATATATCTCTCTCTCTCTCTATATATCTCTCTCTCTCTCTATATATCTCTCTCTCTCTCTATATATCTCTCTCTCTCTCTATATATCTCTCTCTCTCTCTATATATCTCTCTCTCTCTCTATATATCTCTCTCTCTCTCTATATATCTCTCTCTCTCTCTATATATCTCTCTCTCTCTCTATATATCTCTCTCTCTCTCTATATATCTCTCTCTCTCTCTATATATCTCTCTCTCTCTCTATATATATCTCTCTCTCTCTATATATCTCTCTATCTATCTCTCGCTATATATCTCTCTATCTCTCTATATATCTCTCTATCTCTCTATATATCTCTCTATCTCTCTATCTCTCTATATATCTCTCTATCTCTCTATATATCTCTCTATCTCTCTATATATCTCTCTATCTCTCTATATATATATCTATCTAATTATTTTTTTTATTTTTTTTTACAAACGTGTATGAGGTTTATTTTCAGTCATTTTTATGTTGAGATCTGTACTATTTAACAAATGAACTCAGAACATGAAATGGGAAAAACAAATATGATTTAATTTACTTTCTGCCATCTCTCACCAGTTCTTGTGTGTTTGCGTTTGATGGATAGGTCACAGGACTCTGTATATCGGGGTTCATGTTCCTCTGGGCAGAAGAACTCACCGCCGCCATCGGCATCACGGACACCGACACAGAAAGAGGAGCAGGGAGAGAGACTCAGGCGTCGAAGACGGACGAGAATCACCTTCATACAGTAACCATCCATCCTTCCATTAATGACTTTCTTACTGTCACGGGTTGCTGGGGAAAGGCGCTTGAAGGAGTACAAAGCAGGCAGATAGTCAAACAAACAGCATCTTTAGTAAATCCACATGGGAAAGTAGGAGAAAACAACCTCTTTACACAATGTAGACAGGACAAAGAAACTGAGGAAAGGCAGGGCTATAAATACTAAACCAAACGATGGACTAATAAGATGATTAATGAACACAGGTGGAAACTAATGAACTAATCAAGCAACACAGGAAAACTAGGTCAAGGCAGGGAGAACACAAACGTGACACTTACTCAGTATTTATGAGATATTATTGGGAGATATAGAGTGACAACTGATATTTATATCATTTTATATATATATATATATATATATATATATAAAAATATTATTATTTTTTTTTTCAGACTATCATTTCATATGTCAGGCTTTACAGGGTTAATTCAAGATACATTTAAGTTGAGACACAAAATTATTTAAGATATTAATATTTTTTTCTAAAACATATATCAAAATTAAGTACATTTATGCTTAAAATAAAACAAAATAATAAAATCTGGCAGTGAGCTAAGCAAAATATTTTTAAATAAATGTATTTATTAATTTAAATGTATTTAAATAATACATTTTCGTTTTAATCCATTTAAATGTATTTAAATAATAGTACATTTTTCATTGAATTAAGAATATTTAGATATTTGTATTGGAAAACAAGACAAAAATACTGAGTAAGAAAATCTTTCTTTTCTGTCCATCCTTTTTATTTCTGTATGTTTGCTGTGTTCCTCTGTTCCTTCTGATATTCTTTCATCATTTCTGTTTCTCTTTGCTGGTCTGTCCTGTTGTATAAAAGGCTCAGAGTTGGAGTGTGTGTTGCTCCTTTAGCAGCTCATCATGATGACTCAGTCCTGCTAGAGAGCAGCTGCTTCTTTTCTGTGCTTTATTATTATCGACATAACATGCGTTGAACACAGAACAGTTTTGGGTCTCTGATGCTTTTAGCTGCCTATTTTAGCCATCTGACCTTTTGAACTGAGCTTGGTAGTTTATTGAAGTCATTAAAATGCTGTGTCACAGATACTCCCTCTCAGAGGGTTCAGTTTCTGCTGGGCACTGAGGATGGTGATGAAGAGCATATACCACACGACCTCTTCACTGAGCTGGATGAGATCTGCCTCCGTGACGGAGAGGATGCTGAGTGGAGAGAAAGTGCCAGGTACATGTGACCTGTCTGGATTCAGTCATTCAATATGCACTTATGGGTCAAAGACAAATAATGACTGAGAAGATAAAACGTATTTTAAAAATAAAATAAAATACCGATTTTTTTAAAGAAAATAATAAATATGACGTAATATTTTATCAAATGTCTCCAAAAAAGTGGCACAATCATGTGGTAAAAAATGAAAAAATATTTAGATAAACCTTGAATAGAATATGAGTGTGTATATCTTAATTTTTTTTTTTCAGTTTGTATTTATTTATTTATTACATTTTTATTTTTATTATTTATTTTATAAAATATTTATAAAAAATTTTTTTTCTAGGGGTTATTTGATTTGACAGTTAAAAAGATAATATGTCATAAAAAGGTCAAATTAAAAATCAAACTGAAATAAAAAAAGACAATAGGCAAAATAAAATGTAAAAAAAAACAACTAATAATAATGGCAAAAGCACTTAACATATTACTAAAACTTAAGCTAAAAATAAAGTGAAAATCGAAAATATAAAAATAAAAGCAATTTTAATAAATTAATTAATAAATACCATAATAGTATATAAATAATATTAAAATAACACTGTTCTGATATTCCAGTCTGGTGTTTGATCAGTGTCTCCAAAAAAAGTGTGATACTCGTAGTAAAAAGTTTGACAGTTAAAAAGATAATATGTCATAAAAAGGTCAAATTAAAAATCAAACTGAAATAAAAAAAGACAATAGGCAAAATAAAATGTAAAAAAAAACAACTAATAATAATGGCAAAAGCACTTAACATATTACTAAAACTTAAGCTAAAAATAAAGTGAAAATCGAAAATATAAAAATAAAAGCAATTTTAATAAATTAATTAATAAATACCATAATAGTATATAAATAATATTAAAATAACACTGTTCTGATATTCCAGTCTGGTGTTTGATCAGTGTCTCCAAAAAAAGTGTGATACTCGTAGTAAAAAGTGATAAAATATTTCTCTAAACCTTGAATAGAATATGAGTGTACATATCCTAAGTTTTTAAAAATAAAATTGTATTTATTTATTTATTTATTTGTTTGCTTATGCATTTATAAAGTGTATTTTATTTTCAATTATGTTTTTTCTTGGGATCATTTGATTTGACAATTAAAAAAATAGTATGCCATAAAAAGGTTAAATTAAAACTAAAACTGAAATAAAAAAAGATATAGGCAAAATAAAATATATTTAAAAAATAAAACTAATAAAAATGACAAAAGCACATAACATTATATTAAAACTTAAGCTAAAATTAAAATCATAACTAAAATGATCTGATATTAGAATAAACAACAGCAAGTCAATGTATTATAAACAACACACAGGAAACCATTTTTTTGTCATGTGACCAATGCATGTGACAAGAAACCACAAGAACAGGAAATGACATCAGAGTGGCCATTTGTCAAGGTCAGTACATGCAAATCTGTTAAGAATCTGATATTTCCACTTTTTTAGGACACTGCATATCATTCTTTTTTTGTTAAGAATGATATAGATGTTTTTCAACCTGCATGATGAATGCAAAAAATAAATTTCAAAGAACCTGACATGAGCTTTAAACTATTTTTTAAAGATTTTTACTTTTCTCCATCTCAGCGATCTTTATTTTTTATTAGCCCATAAGTAATTAATCAATATTTTGACATCAATTGTTAATGTTCTGCATTTATTAGAGATTGATTCTTGGCTGCTCTCATATGTTTTGAGAGCATGAGTGATGTTTAATGCATTAAATCTGTTGAGCGGCATTAGTCCAAGAGAGCTGCGGTTATATAAAGAATCATTGTTGTGTAATGTTTGTGTGTGTGATAAAACAGAAAGGCTAAATAAAGCACTTACAATGATGATGGTTTCTACATTGTCATATGGCATCACATCTAAATGCAAGTGCACTCAGCATGAGAATTGCTTTCATTTTTCTTCAATAAGCAAAGGCAACATGTACACTGTAGTACTTTATATCTAAAAATATTAAAAATTCACATGAGACAACACAATTTCCCATTTACATATTCAGTAAAGGTTATAAGGAAGGTTGTTTCTGTTATTATTTATTCACCTGCATGTTGTTCTTGACAGTTCATAGTGCTGTCAAGCTCTAAGAAGGACAAATATGATATATTTGGCATATGAAATAAAGTATGTACATCTCTGATTCTGATTCTTCTGGATTTGTATGATAGCCTCATGTTTTAAGTTATTACTTTTCTGCTCTTAATTCAGAATTGTCTTGAAACTTTTGTTTTTCACATTCATTGGTTATCTGGCTGCAGGTGTGGATGTTTTTAAAGGAATAGTTCTCGTAGGACTCTCATTGTGACGGCACCCATTCACTGCAGAGGATCCATTGCTGAGCAAGTGATGCAATGCTACATTTCTCCAAATCTGATGAAGAAACTAACTCATCTACATCTTGGATGGCCTGAGGGCGAATACATATTTGGGTGAACTATTTCTTTAAGCATGTCTGTGTCTCTTTGTCCAGGTGGCTGAAGTTTGAAGAGGACGTGGAGGATGGAGGTGAGCGCTGGAGTAAACCGTACGTTGCGACGCTCTCTCTGCACAGTCTCTTTGAGCTGCGGAGCTGCATTACAAACGGCACCGTCATGTTGGACATGAGAGCCAGCTCTCTGGAGGAGATTGCAGGTAACGTGTTATGCTAAAGAAATGTTAACGTTTTACTATGAAATTACAACAAATATGTAAACAGATCATCTAAGCAACAGCTAACAGATATACGTATCTTAAAACCTATATATACAAATATATTAAAAAATTTAATATATAAAAATAAATGTATTTATATGTGTATATACATTCATATATGTGTTTATCTTATCTGCTGCTAAACATTTGTGATGCTCTGTGTTGAATTTCTTAGATATGGTGCTGGACCAACAGGAAGTGGCTGTGCATCTTGAAGATGATGTCAGGAAGAAGGTCAAAGAGGCTCTTCTGAAGCAGCACCATCATCAGAACCAGAAGAAACTGGCCAATCGGATTCCCATCGTCCGCTCTTTCGCCGACATCGGCAAGAGGCAGTCTGAGACAAACTGCATGGACAAAAACGGTATTAATTTGCCTTTGTGCAGAAAATATAGGAGGTTGCAGGTCTGATTATGCAAATGACATCAAAACTATGTACAACTACAGCTTAAAAGTTTGGTTCAGTAAATGAATATGAACTGAGTACTATTATAAGCAAGGATGCATTATATTGATCCAAAGTGGCAAAAAAAAGCATTTATAATGTCTTTACCATTATAATTACTATAACATGTTATGGTATAAATAATTATAATTTCTATTCATCCAAAAATCCTGAAAATAGATATCACTGTTTCCACAAAAAATATGAAGCAGCACACCAGTTTTCAACATTGATTATAATCAGAAATGTTTCTTGAGCAGCAAATCATAATATTAGAATGATTTCTGAAGATCATGTGACACTGAAGACTGGAGTTATGATGCTGAAAATGCAGCTTTGATCACAGCAATCAATTACATTTTACAATATATTACAATAGAAAACAGTTATTTTAAATTGTAATAATATTTACTGATTTTACTGTATTTTTGAATAATAAATAAATGCAGCCTTGATGTGAGCTGAGACATTAAAAACTTACCAGCCAAATTTAAATATATTTTTTAAATATTTATAATGTTCAATTACTTTATTTTATGTATATATTTATATTTATAAATATTTATGTTTTTAAAATAATTATTTATTTATTACAAATTAGACTAAATAAGATGTGTTGGAAATGGAACAATAATTTAGGCTATTTACTAGGCTATTTAATGCATTTGCCACTCCTAAAACGTAGCACTTAAGTGAAATTGTCCAATTTATGTCCATTAGACTTTCTGTTGTTGCTGGTTTCATTAGAAATCTGTCGCTCCTAAAAATCAGCTCACACATGTCAGATCCACCATCTCAGAGTTTCAGTGTCTCTGTTGTCTTGTCTCCTCTTTATGTGTGTGTGTGTGTGTGTGTCTGACAGGTGCATCATCTCATCTCTTTAAGTGTCCTCTGTGGCAGTCAGTTGTTTGTGATGGGAACGATGGGCAGGTCTCATCCTGTTCTCCATGTTGGCCTCTGTGCTGCTTGTCCAGTGTGTCCATCACCTCACCTCTCCCTCCTCCATCCTCCACATCCACCCACCCAAACCAGAACCCCACCGCCTCCTTCAGCCTGGACAGAGACGACGGCTTGGATCCAGGCAACTTTTAACTTGAGAGACTTTCCCTTCTGCTGTAGTGCTTCCTAAAACATAACGTGTGAAGGTGGTTATCTCAGCGGATAGGTTGCACGTGGTAAACAAACTGTAGGCTAAAATGCTAAGACAGGCTGCGAGAATGCATGATTCTCTGAGATGATTTTAATAACAAATAGCAAATGTTATTAAAGGGTTAGTTCACCCAAAAATGAAAATTCTGTCATTAATTACTCACCCTCATGTCGTTTCAAACCCATAAGACCTTCGTTCATCTTTGTAACACAAATTAAGATATCTTTGATGGAATCTGAGAGCTGTCTGATCCTGCATAGACAGCAACACAACTGAAATGTTCCCAAGTCCAGAAACATAGCAAGGAATCCATGTGACATCAGTGGTTCATCCGCAATTATACAAAGCTACGAGAATACTTTTTGTGCACAAAAGAAAAAAAAACAACGACTTTATTAAACAATTCGTCTCCTCCGCATCACCCTGTAGCGCCATTTTGGAGAATATCAGCTGGACGTAAACAACGTATGCTGTTCTGTTTACGTTCAAGCGGATATTCTCCAAAATGGCACCAGGCACCTTAACCCTTTAAGCTGAAACCACAGTAGCCATGGCTGGATTTATTTAGTTGCTTGTACCTCTAAAGGTGATTGTAAAGTTTCGCCGAAGCAACAAGCCACTCATGATTTACAGTACCCTGAAAAAAATATGTAGAAACAATTTACATTCAGAAATTACCAGAGAATTTCACAAATTAAGCAAGTAACACGTTGAATTAAATAAATTTCCAAGTAGAAAACCTGAAATAATATTTTCTTATAAAATATACTCTAATAATCTGTTTTATTTATAACTTTTACAGATTTAAAAATAAAAAATGAGCTACAGTAACTATATTTAAGCTATCTTAAGTTAAATTATGATTAAATTAGAATTTATCTGGCGCAAAAACAAGGATATACGTTAGGGAGACTTATGTTAATATGTTAATATGCATATATGCATAAAATATCTCACAAGAAATTCCTGGAACTATGTGATGATTCAAATGAATCATTTTGCTGAACCAGTTCTTTAAAATAAACTGTTAGAATGAATTGAATCAATAAAATGAATCAATTTTTATTTTTTTGAGATGGAGATATTCTAAGATATTGCATTCAGATAATGTCAGAATGATCGTTATTATGAAACGAGTGCTCATGAACGGCACCAAAATAATAATCAATGGTGAGATGCTTTCCTTTAAAGGGGTCATATGATGCGATTTAAATTTTTCCTTTCTCTTTGGAGTGTTACAAGCTCTTAGTGCATAAAGAAGATCTGTAAAGTTGCAAAGACTAAAGTCTCAAATCCAAAGAGATATTCTTTATAAAAGTTAAGAGTTTATAAACAAAAGAGGACGATATCTGCTTCGTCATGCCTAGAGCTGATCCGTGCTGGTCGCTGAGGAAATACTACAACTT